CACTCACACAGATAGAGAGGGTGAGATATGGTTGGATTGCTCCTCAGGTGACGCTACAGCCAGCTCAGTATAGTGAGTACAAGCTGTCTTGTCTTGTTATACACATGCCTGAGGTTATTTATGTCAGGTCCTGCTTTAATTCCCCTGCAGAGAGATGACAAGATGGCTGTGTTGAAATAGGCCTTCTCTGCTAATATACTGTATCAGGTTAGACTGACTGTCCGACTGAGTTTATGTGAATTTGTGTTGTGTTCCAGTTCTATCAGCCGTTTTACTTTATCTATTTTGTCGTTTGTGGATTATTATATATTTGTGTTGCATTTGCCTGTTAGGCAGAGGAGTGGTCAACATCTAACCATGTTTAAAGACACAAGTTATATTTTTTTCTGAAATATAAATGCGGCCTTTTAAGACTGTTGGTGCTACTCCTTTAGGGTATCTCATACAGAGATGATGAATTACTAAAACCCGCTCTTTCATTCGACCATTGTCTTTAATCTTTCTCTTATTTTCTGGGAGAGAAAACATTGAATTAATGGTCCGTTAATGGTCCGGGGTTGTTCAGTAAACAGAAACACCAAGCATTGAGAAAGAACTTGTCAATACATACTCTGTTGCCAGTTTATAGCTAAAACTAGGCAGTCTAATGCAATGTCATGCAATAAATCACCCACGAAGGTTATACTGTTACACTTGAACCCATTTAGGTTAAACCAGTGGTTTTTAAACTGGGGTCCAGGTCCTTGAGTGCGTTGTAAGGGGTCCCAAGGAAAAGGAGGATTAGAATATTTTTTATTTTATTTTTTTTAAGTTGGAACAACAAGTGAAGAAATAGTGTTGGTGGTTTTTATCAACTGTAATTTATAATGATTCCAGTTTGATCATTGATTCACTATGAAGACTTTATAATCTTGAAAATAAATAAATAAAATAAAATAAATTGACATGAAAAAGTTTGGGAACTTCTGGGCTAAACTACGGTGACACAGCTGCTGAATGTACATGTCAAAGTGTCAGACTAAACCACATTATCACACAGTATATGTATTTTTGTTTGAGGCCATTTTCTGTCCTATCTGATAGTCAGTTCCATGTCTTGGCAGGACCAATAAGCTGTGCCAATAGCCTGAGTGTGTCCCTGTGCCTGCTGGGATGTTGGGGACTAGAAATCACAGTGCTGTCAGAGGGATCTGTGCTGCCGTCAGTGTAACTACTGGAGGGAGATAGTGGCATTGCTGACGAAAGTACAGTTTAGTTTTTACTGGTCTCAGGTTATTTTTTTCTTTAGCTACAACTCCTCAAAAATGTTGCATAAGTTTGGGCTCTTACCTTTTTGACCTTGCAACAACATCTGGTGAACCAGTGAATTATCCCTCATTCTCCTCCTCCTGAAAACCCTCTCAGGACCCCGACAGCTACCTGGACTCTGGTTCTGAAAACTCTTGGCACAGCTGCCTACCTGCTGGTCTTTCCTTGTAACAGATATATGGATTACAGCGTCCCAGCCTGCAGGTAAAATGTTGTTTCTGTTGTTTGTTACCAGAGCAGAAAGGCGGACCACAGCCCAGGACCAGACAGGGAGAAACAAAGCTAATTTGACCTCTGACCTTAATCATCCTTCACTAATAATAAAGGGGGAAATTAAATGCCTGGAAACGGTATTTTGCTCAGCATCTGTCCTAAAGAATAAGATTAAATCCTACAATACAGTAAGTTTTAGAAGGTAAACATTAAGTATTTATAGCAAAGAGACACATCAACACTAAAATGACATTATATTTAAACTTTGTATTTAGTAACCTACTACATACATTTTACCATGCAATTGAAATTCATATTCTAAAGGAAGATGAAGATTACACACTGACTTTTTGAAACGGTTCTTTATGAATCAACTGAAAGCTAATAGCTGAATATATTCTCTATAGATTCTCGTTTAAGTCTGCAGTGAAGATCTGTTAAGACAGCATAGGCTCATGACCACAGACGATTTTTACTCACTGAAGAAAGGGGGGGAGCAAATCCCAGGACTGGACTGATCTGATCTACAACTAGAGCATCCACCATCCCCAGGCTGAAGCTGAAGCCCACCCCCGCCCTTCCTGCACGACGGGCAGAGTAAAACCAAGTGCCAGCCCGGAGATGCGCGACAGACCCAGCAGCCACGGAGCGAGAGAAAATGTTAACAGGAGCCTATAATTAATTTTCTTTTGTTTCTGTTCGAGAAAAAAACAAAACAAACTATTCTACATGCTGCCCGTATGGAAAACGTTTTTGTATCCGGACGCAAGGAGAGGCTCGCCTAAAGATCATTAAAACACAGATTGCACCAAACCGGTTCAAGTTTTTATCTGTGTGGAGTAAAATTACTCCCCTGACGAGTGTGGACTAATGATGGCTTTAATGGTTCACCTGAAGACGGTCGCTCACCTTCGGGGAAAAGGTGACAGGATCGCCAAAGTTACATTCAGAGGTAGGATGTATTTAGCTGCAGCGTTTCTGTGTTATAGCCTGTATGTGTTGAAACTGAATCACCCTGCGTAGTGTGCCCTGGTTTGATTTATGTTAGACGACAGGATGGGAGGTAATCAGCGGTCCTGGCTGCGTAAAAAGTTGGGGAATCCCCCTCCTGGATCAGTGGTCACCTGAGACGCGCTGCGCTCTGATGTTTCACTGCGCCTTTTTATCCAAGGAAGGAAATCTGACTAATATCCTTCAAATTAAGACAGAAAGAGAAACCTAAAACACAGTCAGTATACGATTTAATAGAATCATACACGAAAATCCAACCCCAATCATTTTGCACTGCATTTCATATACTCCTTAATATTCATATTATCTACAATATATATGTTGTCTCACACCTTTTAAAGTACTACATAGGCAAACTGTATTAGAAATAGGGTGCTTATATTCCTGCTAATGAAAATTCATGATGTTATATCACAGCTATTATATCCAGTCTTTTGCTGCTGTCAGGACATGGACTTCTCTTATGATTTATTAGAATTAGAACTATTAAATATTGCCACATAAAGAAAGAGCAATTTGTCACTCTCTGTACAGCTCTGGGGACATATAGTGACATTACAGTGATTTCTCATTACTGTTTTCACTGGATGTGTCCATTGGTAATTTTACTCATAGAGCAATAAAGGAGCGAGATGCCAGTAGGTTACAAATGATTGAGCTGAGTGCATTGATTACTGAAGATGGTGTTAAAGGTGGGGGTTTATTGTACCTTCGGGGTAATTGCCAATCCTCTAGTTTTATGGCATTTTATAGCTCTTACAGGGCCATTGTCCTAACACCTGACCTGCTATGTCTCTCCTGCTGTTCATTGGAGGGACATTTGGAGGGAGTTCAGTGGATTCATTCATCAGGATCGTACGTTTCTTTCTGTGTGTGTGAATGTGTGTGCTGTCCTGCTCAGCAGAGCGCGCGCGCAGCGCGCGCGCGGCACAGCAGAGAGAGACAGAGGAAGAGAGATAGGCGTGTGTTTTTCAGCACCTTGGACAGCGATCAGTCCACTCTCTGACAGATGACAGGTGTTTAGTCCCAGGCGGATTCCTTGCTATCAGCATCAGGATGGTGTAGGATGTTGCAAGACCACCACCCATTCTTTCTCTCTGCATTGTTCTGTGACTGTGTGCGCACTGGAGAGAGGATGGGCTTCAGTGGTGTGCTCTGCACCGCAGTGAATTCACCAGGGTCTCGATATTACATGAACTGTGTCATCCATGTCAACGATAAGATCTTCTACTCTTCCTCCCCATGGTTCAACTGTCAGCACAGTAGCTGCAGTTCTGTTTTGTTTTAATTTCAAATAGCTGAAGGGTGTGTGTTTGTGTGTGTATGTGTGTGTATGTGTGCCGTTTTTTACCCCAATTTTTGCCCTACAATATCTGATTTAGTCAGTGCAGTTTTGAAATCTGCTCAGTTTAAGACACAAGGGACTTTCACTGGTTTTTCTCTTATGTCAGAAAAAAAGCAGAAGCACATATTTAATCTTCATTCCAGTTAAAGACAAGTGACACATGCCAAAAAACACATCATAAAAGATGTGTAAATACCCATTATATACATACCTGCCAAGTTAAACTGGTCCTACACCACATTCTGTGTCGCATCAGATTCTGACCTGAATAGGAATTTCAGCTTTATTATCACTGTTAAGGTTTGTACTTTATTCTAATGACAAAATGTTGATAACTGTTTATCAAAAACCTGTGACCCCCTATATATTCAGAAAGTTAGAGAAAGAGTCACAAATTGCTGTGAAAGTACGAACCTTATAGAGCAAAGGTAATATAGTCTATGTTGGTACTTTGGTCTTTTTCATCCTCTAGTGCCACAGAATATGATGGGTCAGAAACTTCTGTACACTGAAATCACAGCTAACACAATCTGTGGCCCATATATACTCAGGTGATAACGTTGTTTGGCACCAGCTCTCGATATAAATTAAGATATACAGTAAGATAAAATTGTTGCAGCAGTGGCTGAAAATCCTAATCTGGTCAGAAAATACGGTGTAAGTGATGATTTTGGCCTCCTCGTGGTGGAAACAAGTTGATCTTTCATTTGGAGTAGGGCTGCACGATATGTCAAAAACATAATATTTCGATTATTATGATATATATTGCGAATGCAATAGATTCACAGTTAGTGTGGGAATGATCATTTTTGCATCACAAATCTAAGTTTTACTGAAAAAACTATTAAAATCCTCTGTAGAGGCTCTGTACCAAACAAACGTGTTTTTTTACACCTGAAGAAGAAGTTATTTAGGCCAGGGCACCTCTGCAGCATTATAGTACTTCATTATAATGCTGTTAAGTCACACATTTTGCCTCTGCAATTTGCAAATTGCATGCATATTGTGATAAATGCTGTGTTTTCCAGCGAGCTTGCTGGTTGCTAACTTTGTCGTTGGTGCTGAGCTAGTTTGTGCCTTTCATGAAGCTAACGTTATTATTTTTAGTAGCAAACAGTTATCGGCTTAGGCTCACACAGCAAACCATCGAAAAGTAAATTAACTGGCGATGTCTGGAAAAGGCAGAAGCAGCAGATGGCATTTTCAGAATATTCTAAGACTCTTTTTACCAACTGGATGAAAAAATGATTTTAACCAGTTAGCCGACGAGCCTCCATCTTTGTTTTGATTGTGAAACAAATTTGCGACTTGGGGTTAAAACAACTTAGTGCAGACGTAATAATTATTTCATCCAGATGTTTAGAAGAATCTTTAGGATTGTGGAAACACCTTTACGTCAATGGCCTTCTGGGTTAATAAGGAATGCAACTTGTTATGCTAATTAGAAGCATAAAACCGTGCTATGAGAGCAGTAGATCAGAGCTATAAAGTTGCTTTACAATGAGCTGACACTCACTTTAAAAGCCCTGTAAAGCTGAGGGATAGTGATTTTTTCTCACTACCAGCAACCCAGCAACTCATCATATTTATTTAACGTGATCAATATAGAAAATATCAGTTATAGCCGCTTAAAATTTACATGAAACTGTTTAATCTGACATGTGACATATAGACAAGATTCATATATAAAAGTATTGTCTCAAAGATGTAATTTAGGTGTATCATACACCCACATTTACATCCTGTTTTCCGAGGTTTATGTCTCTCTCCTCAGCTTTGCCAAAAGTTCTTATGGGGCTTTATAAATATTCTTCCTTAAAATCATTCAATTGGTTTGTTTTATTTTTATCTCAAGGCATTGTTCTTTATTTGACCAAATTATATGTTTTTAAAATATGGCTCTATATTTCATATTAGCCTGACTAAGATATCTATGATACTTCTGGGAGATTTCTTTATTTAGCAAGAGATTGTAAAGTGTAACCCTGTGTTTGAAGGCATGATGTTGAATTAAAAGTAAATAAAGAAATCTCTTCATCTGAGAGGTCAACTGTAAAGGGTATGTTATACATTTGGATATTTATGGGTCATTAGATAACAGAGAGCAGAGAATCGCAGGAAAGGTGGGCGAGAGAGAGCTGTAGAACAACAGATATGAGCTGGGATCAAACTCATTGTACACTGAATCACCACAGCGCCCACCATATGATTAATTTCATTTAAACGTTACTGTCTTCAGCTGAGTAAGTGCTTCGTATTTTACAAATACCAGAAAAATATATAATTTTCCAGTTAAAGGAAGCTGATGTCTTTATCAGCAGTTAATTTGCCCACAGATGGTGAAATTATTTTAAAAGTGAAATTTTGTTACCCTCTTCACATCCTGAAAATAAACAATTTATCCCTTTCCTCTCACCCCATCTCTCTTTCTTCTTTATCCTTCCCTGAGTTTCATCCAAAATCAGCCATTTACAGAAGACATAAGAATGTGTTTTTCCACCCACTTAAACTTCTACTCACAGTACATGCGTCAATCATGCGTCCCAAGTCTCTTTAAATGCCCTGGGTTTTTGAGTCATATTTATCCAGCAGACTGTCAGTGGGACTTCCTGAATGCTTTCAGCTCAAACAACTTCCTGTCTGGATAGGAAATGGTCTGCCAGGAAAACCCAGCCCCCCTCTGAGCACATCAAACCATATATGAGCTCTAGAGAGGCTTGTGGGAAGGTGTTATGCATGCATGTCAGACTACACATGCTATGTCTGACAGAAAAAGAGACCTAATGTGGTATATAACGAGACTGCCTATCCAGTCATTATTATCTGGTACCATGGACAATGAATGAAGTCTTCTTCAAAGGCGAAGCATCAGAACTTAATTGATTTTCTGACAAGTCTTTGATGAATAGACCGTAGACTTATCTTTGGTCTATAGCTTTATCAAAAACGGCACTCCAGCTCTTGTTGGGCCTCTGCACAATAGCCTGCAGGATCACACGCACACTGTGGAATTAAATTAGAAATTTAAACATGATTTCTGCTTTCAAGATATTCCACTACAGCTTGCCTCTTTCAACCTAACTCTCTTTTTCTGTCTGTCATCTAACACTTATCAAACCTCTTGACATCATCACTGCTGCTTGGACAGTTTGTTTGAATTCTAAATCTTTAATATTCTCTTGACTGAAACTGAGCTTTGTGCAATATACCGTTTTCCTGCACACATCATTTAAATTCCTTTCCTTCCCTGCAGCATGCTGAAACTCTTGTCTTTATGTAGAGCAGATATTTTCTGTGTGTTTAGTTGCAATTATGGTACCTATTTAGGATGTACACCATCTCTTGTTTGGTTCGTAAATTGGTCAGGAAATAAGACTAAATTAAATCACAGTACGGATGAACAAAGATGAGATTCTCAGGGGCATACAGGGAGAAAGATGCAAAAAATGCTTTCCACTTTCCTATTCTACACTCAATTTTATGTTCTTTTTCATTTTAGGTACAGGTAAAACTGACAAAAAGCTTAAAAACCACCTCTGCCCCCCACTTCATCTGTGTTAGCATAAATCTTTCCTAGTGTTCTCCATCCTTTTACTCTTTTTTATCTCAGTCCGTCTGCTTGAAACCAAGCTCTTCATTCCTTTTCTTTCCTTCGCCACAGGTCGATTCTTTCAATGCCGCTCCTCTCTCTGCTCTCAATCGCTTTATTTCTCCCTGTTTTCAGCCAAGGCCACAAGGCAACCTGATTAGCAGAATGTTGTTTTAGTATTGTGTGGAGCACCTTACATAAGTTTCACATGATCTACTTTTCTAAACCCACGTCTCAGTTAAATGAAAAGACTGGTGTGACAGTGTGTTCATCGTCGCTGTTTTGAATAATGTAGGAGGAATATTGTATCTCTCCCTCTCTGACATTTAAGTGGTGTTTATTTTCTAAAAATGATTTCAAAGGATGTGGCTGTAGAGAGTGGGGAGTGATGGGAACGAGAGATGAGAACACTCGTAAAAGAGATCATGAACTAGAGTCAAAATGGGCTAATTTTCTCTGTGAAATTATACCAATCAGGTTGTGTGAAGTACAATATATTTTCACTTTTCCTTTTGCATGTTTGTGTGTCTTTTTCTTTTTCTAAATCCAAGAGGTTGTTTGCTCTGTGAATGTGTGAAAAGATACTTTCAACACAAATAATGATAATAATACGTCAGAGCCAGGCAGGATCTATTTATTTTCATTCAAACTTATTATTACAGCCAAACTGACAGGGGCTGTAATTAACTTTCTAGGTCCCTGCACATGTGTGTAGACATATATATGAATGTGTGTCAGTACACATCAGCTGTCCACACGCACCTAAACAAATATCAGCACCCACACAAAGCCTCAGATACACAAAGCAAACTACCGCAACAAAGCAGAATGCACACACCAGTCCGGCACCATTCATGAGGATCACAAAACAACCAGGTGAACACAAGCAGTGGCACGCATGAGTGAGTCAGGTCACTGCACAGTAAATGCCCTGTGTATAACCTTAAATACACAATGCACCAAGAGATTATTGTTTTCATGATCATTTAAGGACGCCATATGGAAATTATGTACATTTTGTTTTCCTTAATCTCAATTCTGCTGAAGTCTTCTCTGTCTCTGTTTGCTTTTCTGCTTTTATTCTGTCGCATAGTGAGTCATAGTAGCCATTTAATTGTCTGCATTTCTTTTCTGTCTCCTGTGGCTCCACACAACCTGTCTCATTTGTGTGTTTTCCAGGTACTTAGGCATGAATTTGTCTTTTCAGTGCTCTTAATTGTGACAAATGTAAACTGACTTTTGACAGTAATGGGAACATTTTAATGTTGATCAGCGTATCTAAATGTGATGATACATTCATATATCCAATCTATATCTGACAGACAGTGGTGGAATAAGTATTCAGATCATTTACTTTATTATAAGTGATAATCCTGCAATTAAAATCCTGCTATTTCATTCTTTATTTCCCTAGAGTGTTCTCTCATCTTTTATTTCAATTAGGAAAATTAATTCACGTATCATAGCATTACTGTGCATTTTACCCCAGTTCTGCAGATCTGCAAACCCATTTTGGGTCCAAACGCTAAGTCTGGGAAATACTGCATTATAGTTAGCTATTACTGATGTGTCAGAGGTGGAGCTAGATTTTATTACTTTATATACAGGAATATAGTTTTTTCCACTTCCCAAACTAGAGCCATATTAAAGCTTTAAAAGATATAAAGTTATAAGATGAAAAACATCAAGGTTCTGCTACACAAATTTGTATTAATTTTTAGAACTTTGTGAAATAGTAAGTAAGTTTACCTCTTGAACGTCAAACAGTTTTTAAATGTAAAAATCTTAGAGGTTAGTGGGGGAAATGTCTCTTTAACAACTCATAGACGTGTAAAATGTGACACAAAAAGGGGTTGAGATCATCAAAAAACAAGCCACTAGTCGATTTTATAAGCTCTAATGTAAAAATTATATCATGTAGAAATTATATAAATTGCTGTGTGTCTGACCACTCAACCAGAAATTACAATAATTGCCATGTCATAATTGAACAGTTTATCTGATTTTAACCTCTAAATTCCTCCTTCCAGGTCTGTCTTTCTACAGCCGGGTTGCAGAGAACTGTGAGGAGGTGGCACACTTTAATGAGGTCAGTGTCTTCATTTTTCAGTCATACACTTACGCACCTTGTTAATGACCGATCAGCAATTATCTCTTAACTTAATAGAAACCACAATCTACCACAAGACTTCCAGTATCTACTGCAGATAACTAACAGGTTTTTACTTTTAATTGATGTCTGTTCTTAGATTTAAGTGATGACATTAATTTCAAACCTAACAGTATGTTATATTAGGCATACATTAGTACTGGAAATTTCCCTTTTACACCTACACAATCTGTTAATGTAACTGCTGTGCAGGTGGCATCTTTAAACAAATGTTCACCTGTTTCAGTTCTTATTACTTGAAAATAGCTTCCTTGGATAAACTTAATAGTAAGCATACTTTAACATAGAACATATGTTACACTTTACCTCCCATTGTGTGATTGAATATGATGTAGTAATATGCTTTACTTTCTGTGCGTAGGTTTTTAAAGAATTAGAGATACAGTATAGGAGTACTATAATTAATTATACTACTCCTAATTAATTATATTATTATTACAATCATGTTGTTGAATTATTCTCATAAGAACTTTAACACTGTATGTTTATATTGTCCAGCTGCTGTTTCAATTTAAAGAGCTCTTACTCTTTCTGAATCTCTGCAGAGGATCAGTTCCATCCATTTTGACCATATCCCAGCATGCATTGTGCTAGAGGCAGGGTACACCTTGTACTAGGGATGCACTGTTTTATCATCCGAACATCAGTATTGGCCAAAATTCACCTTGTATATATGTTTATATGTTGTGTCACATCAATTTTGCGCTGGCTAAAGGTTGCGTTTGTTATTTTCAACTTGGATATTGGAGAAATAATCACCTCCGTTTTCCAACATCGGCACAAATTAGCAATTGACAGAGAGTAAGCAGCTGTTCGGATCTGCGTCTCACATCTTGATAATAAAAATAAAACAAGCTGCAACAAGGCAGAGATGCTTATCTTTGTCAACAAAAAAACATCAGCATCAGACAGATTGTTATTTTAACTTTTCTTATCTGTATCTTGTACCAGAATTTCACAATTGGTGCATTCCTACCTTGTACAGCCAGTCAGCCAAACACATTATGCCCTCACATTTACATCTAAGAGCAATTTGAAATTTGCCTCAAAGTATATTCTTACTTTTTGGCTCGCTACACGCAGAGCACTCTGACTTAGTAATTAACATTGGTATTGCACGTATATAGAAAAATGCAGAATCATCCAATATAAATGTAAGGGGATACTGGACTGCACACACAGTCCACACAAACCCAGGCACTTCATGCTGTGTGGCAACAGTGCCAACCACTCAGCTGGACAAGGATCATGTCATCGTCACCTAATTATTGTTCTAACCCAAAATCTTGCTCATTTTAGCTCGCAAATGGCCAATGTCTTGCCAAGTGTCTCCTAACGACCCTCTACTGTTCACTGATGGCCTATCAGGGTCTGGAGAGACAGTGGCCTCCACCCATGCCTGACATTAAACACTTGCTCTGTTGTAATTAAACAAGACACTCCACACTCTGCTGCTGATGTGAGGAAGATCTGGTCCCCTAAATAGCTCGTCTGCCAGACCTGGAAGTTCTTTTAACTTGAAAAAGAAAGTTTAGTGGACATGAATTCTTTACAATTTCACTTGATGTCCAGGAAATTACTAAAACATTATTCTGAGCAACAGCACAGACCTGAGGAAGGCTTTCAGAACCTTGAGGTTTTCACTGGAGCCCCTCTGGTGCTGGCTAGTCAGTTTCTTTTCACCATGGCTGGGGCTTCTGGGAAATGTTCCCAATAGGATTCCTGCAGGCTCCTGTCACACTGAGAAACCAGCGTTATGATGGATTTAAATGCAAAGAGTCATATAAAGGGAGTAGAGAAGGGAAATAAGAAAGAGATGAGGGTTGAGGGATCAAAAGAGAAATGCTGCTGGAGGAAATCCACACAGAGTGGAAGCATAAGAGACAGAACAGAGGTAGAGGATAAGGTGAGGGAATGAACTAAGAAAAACAAAAGAAAGAGAGCCTCAAACGCGTACAGTACCTTCCCAGGGGAGGTTTGACTACAGTTTTTTCCCCCTTTGAGCTGCTTGCTTTTGCAAAGAAAAACATTTTCCCTTTGATGGGTTCACAAGCAGAGTGCTGCTTCCTTTGCTGATAACCAGAGCTTTCTTGTTTTCAGTCTAATCAGGAAAATGGCTAAATGACTGTACGCATTTGGCCCCTTGCATAGTCATGCACAAACACAGCCACTTACACGTATACAGTACATACACAGTGCCTGCAGAAAGATTGTTGTTTCTGTAGCGTCACGGATGAAGTGTAACAAAAGGGAGAAATGTGTCAGAATTATATATAGTGGTACATTATATTATTCCTAAGGCCCGACTGCAGTAACTGGTATAGAGCTCAGTGGCTGGCACTGATATGTGATCTCTTGTGACAGCCTCACCCGATGCTCCCATCTTGGTCCTGTAGTGCTGGGGAGGTCGTTAGCATCATTCAGCATCAATAAAATGTCCAGGCTTCCTTTGGGACAACTTGTGCTTCCAGTAGTTCCTGAGTCGGTGTATATTTGTGTGTGTGTGTGTGTGTGTGTGTGTGTGTAGCATGCTGCTGGTGCCACCCCCAACAAACACTTAAGCAATTCCTCATCACATCCTCCTCATCTGACATCTTCATCCTCAGCTCTGGAACATTTGCACAGCTCAGTAAGCTCAGTCCAGCCCCTGCAGTTGAGGCCCATTAGCATAGAGTTGTGTGCCTTGTTGCTTTATGCATGGACTAGCAGGACGCCTTTGAACTAGTATGCGGATAGACTGGATGGGGAATCTGTATTCATTATTCATTCCATGGTGGGACTTGGCTTTTAGCTGCAGTACACCAGGGCTTCCCCCTCACTAGTTAGACATAACTGGAGCAAAGAACAGAAAGGCCTGCAAGTACAATATGTGGCCACAGGGTTTACTGAGTATGGGCCTGCAGATATAGCTAACGTGTAAGTGTCCATGTCAGTGTCTGAGCAAAGGAAATGCAAAAGGAATGTAGGAATATGTGTTTATTTAGTTTAGTTTAACTATGCAGACAAGGCAAGGGGAATTATTATACAAACATAATGAATGCAAGAATATTCCTTCTCCGCTAGCTTCCAGCTGCTACAGCCCTACAGTGTACAGTCTGACTTTTTAATGAGAGTCTAGCGATTATGCAACGCAAAATTCTGAATCATATGACTGTTTCATTACTTTTTTAGTACTGTTTTCAACCTTTTGTCCCACAAATTATATTTTTATACGACTATTTTGCAACTGAATGCCACCAAAATTATGTTTTTATCACCATAATAAAGGGACATTTTACAAGATATCAAGTTACACAATTTAGAATCAGACTTCTATAATGTTGCCTAAACTGAACCACCAATGGGATTCAAAATATGAAACCCTTGATTGAAGCGTTATAGTCCTGTCCTCTATACAGGGTCCAAAATTAATAGCCGCTAAGTGCCAAATTATGGTAAATTTGGGGTTTGGCTGGAAAATAAATTGGGATCATTGAAAAAATTATTTGGATTCACAGCATAGGACCAGGTTTATAATGCTGTGTTGTATGTGAGACCCTCACATCTTATCAAGTAAAAGCAGCTTGCTACTATTTGTGCTTTCTACACAATGTTTGTCTATGTTTTTGCCTTAAGAAGTATCCGTGTTACATGTTATTAGAGATGTGGCAACACATTTCTGGTGTTAAGCAACCAAAAACCCGCTGCAGAGTCCTTATATCACCGTCTGTGCACATCCCATGCTGTTTGTGATGTTTCCAGTCAGGATGCTTTCTATAGCTCCTCTGGCAATTGGCACTGGAATTTTGCTTCCTTATGTTTCCTTATGAAATACAGTCATTTCTGTGCTTTCTTAACCAGGGTGGTGATATGAAATAACCATGAGAGGTTGTCTTTCACAATGTCTGTCTATGTCTTTACTAAAAGAACCATCTGCGTGACATGTTATTAGCTATATATATAACAAATATTTTTGAAAAAGTTCATTTTGACCCAGACTCTGCAACCAACACACTCTATATGACTTGTAGTACAAAAACCTAGAATTTTCTCTGTAACAAACATAGTTAATTAACATAATCCAGGCAGTAATTATGATTCCCAATTTAATTTGGCAAAGAAATGAATAGTATATAAACATCATTTTTAGGTGACAGTTTGCTGTTTAAGTAGTTGTTATGTCAGTGTTGATGGTCTCTGTCTCAGTACTGAGAGCCTCATCAGTCCAATCAGGACTCTGAACTCAAGAGCATGCTACGGCTGACCAAAGAGAGTAGGAAGAGACCACAGTGAGGTCACTTCCACAAAACTTCCCTCGGTAATCAGGTTTGGGAAGTTAGTGGGCTCGAGTAAGGCGTATCTGTTATATGAGAACATAGCACTATCAGGGTGAGGTTTTTAAACTAATATACATCATACCCAGTAGTACATAATTCATATCCAGTGAGCCACGGAGAATATAAGACTCTTCAAACATAACTTCATGCATTAGGGTGATCCGATCTACCCCTGGAGGTCATATTTCAGCTAATGATTTACTGACCACTTGACCACCAATAAGGAGAAGAGGAGTAGCATTTGCCTCCAGACTAGACTCAAGCTGGCATATTGCATTCGCTAAAAATAGTTTAAGAACTTCTCTACTTTTTGAGATTCAGGGCTGCTCCAGGGAGGTGCTTTCCCATCTCTGAGTATACTGAATAAATGATGATTTGAGCAGAATATTTTCTTTGCCCACTTAGAGTTGGAGGGAAACTGAAAACTGAAAAAATCTGAGCAGCCAAAATGAGCACAGTAGAATCCACAGTTGGCATATTTACTGTATAGAACGTTGTTTTTGATATGTTTTGGTGTTGTTTATGTATTAGTGTTGTGGATTTAGTGTGCTGTGTTTATTTTTTATTTTGTCATTTTAAATCCACAACACAAAACACTTAAAA